TGTATGTATGTATGTATGTATGTATGTATGTATGTATGTATGTATGTAATGTCCCCCTAAATTTTACTTTATATTTTTAAAACAGTCATATTCATTCTATATTATAAGTACAGTTATAAGCTACTTGTACTTTTTTCCTTGTTTACAGTTTAAAATGAAGATTTGAAAGACTAAATGTCATTTTAAAACTTTTACTTGTTTTCCCATCTGGAGTTTCCCTAAATGTTTTGAAAACCCCTGTTTTTTTTTTTTTTTCCAAATTCCAGAGTGATTTAAATTTGCTCAAATGGCAAGATGGCGGACTCTCACTGCAACGCACGAACAAGGTAAGGAGCCGGAGGGGGGGGCTACCGGGCAACCGCGCTACCGGGCAACCGGGCTACCGGGGCCGGAGGGGGGGGCTACCGGGCTACTGCGTCCTAGGGCTCCCGCGATACCGGGGTTCGGTGCGGGTCTACTCTGACAGTGATATCGAACCGGGGTCGGGGGTCCGGGTCTCCCCTCTGGGGAGCCCCGGCCCCCCTCCCCCCGGTGGCCGTTTTCCCCGATATTCCCCGGTTTTCCCGGTATTCCCGGTTTTCCGTTTTTCGTCTTTTACCGCGGTATCGCGGTAGCCCGCCCACTTCCTTGTTTTTGTCACATGACTAAAAACAAGTCACATGACTAAAAACAAACCAATGAGAATCTAAACTAAAGCAGATTCAACCAAATATCTTAAAGATTTAGGGGGGCGGGCGGCGGCACGGAGCTACCGGGACACCGGGCTACCGGTGCCGGGGTCCGGTAGGGGGCTACCGGTAGGGCATGCCGAGTGCCAACGTACGTAATAATCTGAGAAAAATGTTCTGGCGTATTTTTTTAAATCCTCACGCTCACACCAACTGTATTGGCAACTAAATTATTTCAAAGAATATGATTAAAATAGGTGTGTGTGTGAATGGGTGCATGAACTAGGGGGGTGGTCCATAACGAACCACACTCCATACCAGCAGGTGGCGGTAATGCTGCTTAAAGCTTGTTGCAAACCGCCAATAAAATCAACAAGAAGAAGAAGAAGAAGAAGAACTGTATTGGCAATGTACTGAGTGGTGCAGAGGATGAACCGAGCTCCGAGGGGCCGTGGGGAAAGAGGGCAACTGCCAGAAGACTCCATATCGTCTTTGGACTGTATTCCGAGAGCGGACATGGCAAAAGGTTGGCTTTCTTTTGTGCTGTTAGTAGTTATGGCGTCATGGAGGTATAAGTTCGAGTTGTTTAGCCGACAGCGAAGGCCGGTGTGTCAAAACAGACAACCGACTTTGCACACAAAACTCACCGGCGTTTGTGTAATGTGGCCTGAGCTAGACAAGAATGCTCACTTATAATTATTTCGTTTTCATAAAGGGAAAAAAGGTGTGCTGAGAACCGACAAAAAGTCAGAGAACACCGGTGAACGTACAGTCACCGCACAGACTGAGACAAAGGAGAACAAGCCTGCAGCTGAAAAGGTACGTGTTGTTGTTTATGGCTTAAACGACTTTGTTAAAGTATCAAACCAGTATGTATTACCCATGTTGTTTAAATTAATACAACGGGCGTAATACCTCAGTTTATCTATCATGAAGTTTACAGTTATACGTAGTCGTACTGCAGGGCTTCTATTCATCCAAAGTTGAATCTTAGAAGTAAAACTGTCCCTGTGGCCCCCACGAGGAAATAAAGCTACACCATCGGCACAATGTCCTGTTCAATTGTTTTGTTTTTTTAATTGAGTGCTATGAAACATTGTAATGGGTTATCTATTTGATATGTTGTAGCATGCTGGCATATAAAAACCTTATATACATATTTTATATATATATATATATTGAAATTGGTTATTTTGAACTTTTTTCATGTAGTATTTCCATATTTGATTCATTAAAACTATTTATATAATTTAGATGCTGTACAACCAAGCTGTACAGCGTCTAAAGTAGAGTAGTAAGAGGTAAAATTACCCTATTTTAGACACTCATTGCCATCATAGGTCAGGCGTTCATTCTCTGCCTTCTGCTGGTAAAATGAGTATCTGCATCCCGACAGAGTTCTGTTTCTGAAATAAACTGTCATTGCTTCGTTCCTGTTAAGGTTTTTCATTTGATAACTGATGTGGTCCATTTTTCTTGCAGAATTGTATCAGTAAGGTGCAGTCAAATTTCCAGAGCCTGCAAAGTTCGAGTAAACCCAGATCCCCTCTGAGTGACAGTTTAATCAAGGAGGGAAATGATTCTGATGCAACTAATCCTGACATGTCAAAGCTGAAAAAAGGTGCGTTGTTTTAAAGCTGACTGACATGAAAGCCTGGTGTTTGGCCACTAACATTACAGGCATTTGTTTTTCTTAACATTTTTGTTGCTATTGACTACCTTGTCATCATGTGGTTAGGAGATCTTCCCATATGATGGAGGCATCTCCAGTTGAATGATTGCTGTGTTCACTAGCAGATCTTATGACACAGCTTAACAGCATTTCTGAAGCTTCACATCCTCGATTAAGGCTAAATGTTTAAGGCTGCATTCCCTTCTATTCTGTGTCTCCCGCTTATTGTAGACGTACCCTGCAAAGTTCAGCCTGAGAGCTGTGAGTCCAAGGAGCCGAAGTTGGATTTTAACCAGCAGGTTCTCTTTGTTTCGCAGCTTTGGACGACTCCGACGACGAGCCGCTGATGAAGCTGAAGAAAGCCGAGCAGGACAAAAAGGAGAACACGCCTCCCAAACCTTCTGGTACTGAGCCGGCCGCTCTCCTCCCGCCCGCCGCCGCCGCCGGCCAGCTGCTGTTTGATCATCAGTCTTTTTCTTCAGGTTCCAACACAGACGGCGACTCCGACAACGAGCCGCTGGTCAAAATGGCCAAAGTTTCCTCCAAAGCCGCCAGGAAGCCGCGCTCTGCAGCCCCGAGGAAGTCAGCCAGCAGGAAGAAGAGAGGTGGGAGGAGCCCGCCGCCTCCCTAGCGTTTTCCGCCACACCGCCTCTGACTTCCGTTTTCCCCGTTTGCTCGCAGCGTCCCCGCAGAAGGACGACAGCTCCGACGACGACGAGCCTCTGAGTCAGATCGCCAAGAAGGTGAGGGACCAGTACCCGAGGAGGCGGGCGGCCATGGCGTCCAAGAAGCCCCCCCCCGGCCGTCAAATCCCAGCGGACGGCGGCCAGGAAAAGCG